CATTCCGGCAATGACCACTTGGCACTGTCGTCAGAGGCTTCTGCCTGACTCCAAATACATGACTTACCCTGCCAGGACCTGGCCGGGATGCCAGTAAGTAGAGGCTCAATTACCACCCAACACCTGTCTGCTTCTAGATTTCATCTGCTCAGCACTATCACATCCCTTTTCTACTCTAAGTGCTTCACTGGCCCCAGGACACTAGCATTTCCATTTTATAGCTGCGGCGGGGGGTGGAAGGGGTGGACACATGGCTAAAATGACTTCTCCAAGGCAGTGCCCGGCCTGTGACTCATGTGCATGATAGTGTGCCCTGCCTCGCCCAGGCTGACATCTCCAGAGCTGGAGGGGGATTTGGATGCTCTGTTAAGATCTTTCCGCCTTACTGTCAGCTCAGAACAGCTCCACTCCAGGATGTCTAGCTTAAGTTTGGGGATGTATGTTCATGAGAAGAAAAAAATAGATTTTATTCTTGAGAGTTGTTTTCGATTCAGAGCAAAACTGAGCAGAAAGTAGAGAGTTCCCAGATAGCTCCCTGACGCCCCCACCCCAAACCACCTCCCGCACTGTGGGCATCCCACACCAGGACGGTACGTTGCTTTCCAGCTAATGAGCCGACACGGACTCGTCCTCGTCACCCCAAGTCCGTGCTTATGCTTGGGTTCACTCTGGGAGTTGCACACTCTAAAGCGTTGGCCAAATCTATGACACATCCTACCATTATGGGACCACACAGAGCAGTTTCACTGCCCCCCAAATCCCAGGCTCCACCAAAACACCCTTCCCTTTTTCCGGCTACCCCTTGGCAACCACTGACTTTCCAATTGTCTCCTTAGTTTCACTTTTTCCAAAATGTCATATTGTTGGAATGATGCGGATGTAGCCTTTTAGGTTGGTTTCTCTTATTTAAGTGTATATTTAAGTCTCCTTCCTGCCTTTTTATGGCTTGATAACTCATTTCCTTTTGGTCTGGATGCACCACAGTTTATCTATCCTTTTCCTTACTGAAGGGCGTGACATCTCAGTTGCTTTCCCGTTTTGGCAATTATAAATAAAACTTGTAAATGCCCGTGTGCAGGCTGTTGTGGGCATATACGTTTTCAACTCCTCTGAGTAAATACTAAGGAACACAATCGCTGACTCCTATGGTAACAGTACATTTAGTTTTTTGAAGGCCTGTACCATTTTCTATTTTCACGAGCAATAAATGAGAGCTCCTATTGGTGCACACTCTTGTCAGTCTTTGACGTCAGTGATTTTGGACACTGGCCACTCTGATCAGTGTGGCCAATTATTTACATCCAGCATTTTAGAAAGCTTAAAAATTCATGATAAGATGAGTAAGTTCTGGGGCTCTAGCGCACAGCATGGTGACTACAGCGAATAATACTGCATTGTATACTAGAAATTTGGTAAGAGAATAGATCTTCAATGTCCTCATCACACACAAAAGTTAACTGTATAAGGTGATGGATGTGTTAATTAGGTTGATTGTGGTAATCATTTCATAATGTATACCAAATCACCATGTACATCATAAACATACATGATTTTTACTTCAATAAAATTGGAAAAAATTTTTTTTTAAGTCTAACAATTAGAATAAGAAACAATAGGATTTGAGAGCTGGAAAAAAAGACTTTGACTCTAGTCTACTTCCCTCTTTCCCTGTCCTCCCCACCTCTACCACCAACACACACATTTTATAAATAAAAAACAGAGGCAGAAAGAATTCACTGGTGGCAGGACTGAGATTAGAGCTCAGAGCTCCAAACTGGTAATCCTGTACTTATTCCACACATAATAATGCCTCTATTCTCTCATTTGCAAATTACACTTTGTGAAGTGGGGGGTCCAAGATGCAGACCATCAAGGTTAAACACCAGGGTTCTGTGCTTATTCATTACTATTTTACCCTCTTTGTCCCTATGTTCCTCTTCCTCTCCCTCTTTTCCTTCCTCTTCTTAAAACAGTCCCTTTAGCGTATTTTGCAGTGCTGGTTTGATGAAGGTGTATTCTTTTAAACTTCTTTTGTCTGGAAAGCTTCTGTTTATTTCACCTTTCATTTAAATTGAGAGCCTTGCTGGGTATAGTAGTCTTGGTTGCAGGCCTTTCCTTTTCACTACTTGGAATATTTCTTGCCATTCCATTCTGGCTTGCAGTGTTTCTGTTGAGAAGTCAGCTGCTAGCCTTATCAGGGCTCCTGTGTATGTTACTTCCTGTTTCTTCCTTGCTGCCTTTAAGATTCTTTCTTTGTCTTTGAATTTTGCCATTTTATTTATGATCTCTCTTGGAGTGGGCTTCTTTGGGTTCCTCTCAGATCCTGGTGTCTACTCTCTCAGCTCTCTCCCCACAGCTTCCATCCCATCTCTCCTCAAGCATCTCTAGCCTACTCTGTCCCAGCCTTTGCTGGAGCCCAGCGTAAGTGCCTGCAAATGAAAATTTGTGTGTTGGCTCTTTAAATGGCTCTTGGCATCTCCAGCCGTCATCTTTGGCAGAGAGCAACCCTGCTGCTTTTCACCACTGCTTGTTATCTGTGTATTTTGGGCTCTGGTGCTCTGGGCTGGGGATCCCAGCTTAGGGTTTAGATCTCACACTTCTCAGGCTGATCCAACTGGTTGCTGAATTATCCCTTGGGCGTTGCCACCTGTGGGCACCCAGCCAGTCTTTTCGAGTCTCCACCGCACTCCTCACCAGACAGGCTGTGCAGAAGTTAATTCTTCTGTCTGTCTGAGATTATAACGCTTCTCTCTCACTATTGTTCAGTTGTTTGTTCCAGGTGATTTCTCCACAATTTAATTGTAATTCCAGATTAGTCCTGGGAGGAGGTTAGTGTGGCTTCCATTCACTCCTCCTCCATCTTAGGAAATCCAAAAGTCCTCAAAGAGTCTTTTTATTTTCATCTCTTAGCAATGCAAGTCTGGGTTTTTCCTTGTACGTTACCTAACTAAGGACACCTGGAAATAGCCATTCCTCACCAGGATCATTTCCACATCCAGCAAGAACACAGGGCCTGCCTTTGCTGGTTTCTTTTCTCCATTCACCATTTCCTAAATCCTATTTTAATAGGGTTTATGGAGGTAGAGATTCCAGAGTCTTGACCATTGTGGAAAATGTGGTTTTATAGGACTTGTCAATGTTAGCGGTCTCCCACCCTGTGTCTGAGAGTGCCCCACTTTCTGAAGCCACCAAACATTGGTACCTGCTTTTGTCATACTTAGGAACATTCTTCCCCTTTTACATTTCTGACAGCTGAACAGGCCTCTATCATAATTTTGTCTCCTTCTTCGTCTTTGCATCCCTAGCTCTTAGCTCAGACTCTGACACATGGGTACTCTTCAAAGACTGGGAGGCAGCCAGCATTGCAGTTAATAAGCATTGGAAGAGATGGATTCCCACATTCAGATCCCAGGTTGGTTACTTGACTTTAGTCTATTCTTAATCTGAGCCTCAGTTTCCCCATTTATCAAACGAGAATAAAATACTACCCTAAGTGGTAGGTGAGAGGCATTAAATTAAAAATATACGGGAGCTTCCAGGCTAGGTGGCAGTATAGGCAGACATGGCTCCCCTCTTTGCAAAACCACATCAAAATTACAACTAAAATATAGAACAACCAACTCAGAAACATCAGAAATCAAGCTGAATGGAAGTCTGACAACTATGGAGTTAAAGAAACCACACCCATCCAGACTGGTAGGAGGGGCACAGATGCAGAACAAGCTGGTCCCACACCCATGTGTGGTGGATAAAAATTCGGGGGGATATCTCAAGAGTGAGGAGTCCCAGTCCCACACCATGCCCCGCCAGCCCAGGGTTCCAGTGCCAGGAAGATAAGTACCCACAACTTCTGATGGCAAAAACCAGCAGGGAATGAGTCTGTGGAAGAAACTGCTGGAGCCCCAAGCAGTTCCTCTTAAAAAACCCATGCACAGACTCACCTACTCAGAATCAAACCCTCTGAGCTCCACTGCTGTGGTGGCAGCTGGAAGAGCACCAGTGGGCATACAGGGAAGAAATGAAGTGTGGCAAATTACTAATTTGGCAAAGGAAATAGACATGGAAATCCAGGAAGCCCAGAATCCCAATCAAGATGGACCCGAAGAGGACCACACAAAGCCACACTGTAATTAAAATGCAAAGGGTTAAAGATTAAGAGAGAATCTTACAAGCAGCAAGAGAAAAGCAGAGAGTTATCTACAAAGGAGTTCCCATAAGACTATCAGCTGATTTCTCAAAAGAAATCTTGCAGGCAAGAAGAGGCTGGCAAGAAGTATTCAAAGTGATGAAAAGCAAGGACCTACAACCAAGATTACACTATCCAGCAAAGCTATCATTTAGAATGGAAGGGCAGATAAAGCATTTCCCAGACAAGGGAAAACTAAAGGAATTCATCATCACCAAGCTCTTACAGGAAATGTTATAGGAACATATTTAATAAAAAGAGGAAGATCAAAACTATGAACATTAAAATGACAACAAGCTCACAAGTATCAACAACTGAATCTAAAAAATAAAAACAAAAACAAACTAAGCAAACAACAGGAACAGAATCATAGACATGGGGATCACTTGGAGCGTTATCAGTTGGGAGGGTGTTGAGGGGTGAAATGGGGAAATGGTGCAGGGATCAAGAAGCATAACTATAGGAACAAAAAGATGGGGATGTTGAGAATACTATAGGAAAGACAGAAGCCAAAGAACTTGCACATATGACCCATGAACATGAACTAGGGGGCAGACTGCTGGATGGAAGGAGGGTATCAGGTGGAGGAGGGCAAAGGGAAAAAAAGTTGTGACAACTGTAACAGTATAATCAATAAAATATACTTAAAAATAAAAATATAGGAAAGTACTTAGTGCAACATGCAACTGATGCTATTCAACGGTAGCTATTACTTGTTGAATACGAGGGGCATGAGGGGCAGAGGGGCACAGTCCTTTTTCCCAGGCTCTCATCACCCCTTTATACTTAGGAGAGGGAAGTGGGAGGCACTTACCGCCAAAGAGGGAAAGACAGGCATCGAAGTTCGGCGTGCAGTTGGAGATACGAGTACATATCCCACCTGGGTTGATGCAGTTGTAGCACTGCAGACTATAACCTAGAATCAGGAAGAAAACCCATGAGACTCTGGGAGACCAGCACTGCCTTGCCCTCCTGGCTGCAGGAGAAAGCCCACCGCCTGCATGATGATGGGACAGAGGTCGGCAGCACTCCACTCCCACACAAACCTGCACCAGGTAGGCTTCTCCAAGCTCAAACTATAGTTCCAGCAGCATTTTTAAGACCCTGATGCAAATACAAAGGAAATTTCCAGCCTTGGCTGGTGTGGCTCAGTGGATTGAGCACAGGCCTGCAAACCAAAGGGTCGTTGGTTCCATTCCCAGTCAGGGCACATGCCTGGGTTACGGGCGAGGTCCCCAGTAGGGGGTGAGTAAGAGGTAACCACACACTGATATTTCTCTTCCTCTCTCCCTCCCTTCCCCACTCTCCATCCCCACTCTCTAAAACGAAATAAATAAACTCTTTAAAGAAACCCTCACACTTCCTAAAAAAAAAAAAGGAAAAGGAATTTCCATATTTAAAAATCATGGAACTATTTCAATGAATCACATCAAGTGGCAGCAATTAATCTGCACTGTTGCGATATAGTAAAAGGAAACTATCAAGAGAATAAGCTAACGAAATCTATTAAATGCCTTCCAAGCAACACATATGCTCTATGAAACCACATTCTTATGGACTAATAATCAGTATTTGGCAGTTGCTATCTATCTGTGTAAGAAGACATTTCCAAAGACGAAATACATAAAATCTCAGTACAGATTGGCATTAACAAATGGAGAAGACTTGCAACCAGTCTGAGGATAGGGAACACTAATTTTGAATCCCAGGTAAGTAAAATGTTATTCTCCCCAAAAGAATAACTAATTATTCATAATTATTTAAATTGTATTTATTTGTAATTCAGGTCTACTAATTCTTCCCATTAGTAGATCTGAATTATAAATAATTGTGCTCAATCATATTTCAAATTTTGTCAATTAAAAATTTATAGAAATGTGTTTTCTTGTTATTTATATAAAAGCTTACATAATATCCTGGGTTTTGTCTCTTGGCCTGCAAAGCCTCAAATATTTACTCTCTGGCCTCTACAGGACACGTCTGGTGATGTCTGGGGTAAGGTGTCATCACAGAGGCTGCTCCGTGCTGAGGGACTGACCTGTCACCAGGAGCATGCATAATCAAGGGAGAGATAGCAGCTGGACACCTTAAACCCAGACAGGTGGGACAGCCAGGCATCAGCAGTGACACTGAACAGGAGAGTCAGGGTCCATCTGATGCCAACTGCCTCTGGTTCTCTAACTGGAAAATGAATTCTGCCCCCATCCACGTTCTCACGCCTCATCTTTGCTAGCTAGACTCTGGGCTTTGCTGGATCATTCCCCCTTCTCCATTTTATATCAACAGTGACGAGAAAAAGACAGGTCATATTTCACATCTGTTTCGGGGAGAGGCAGAGAGATGTAAGAGTTGCGAGACAATTTTCCTGATTCATGTGGACACATTCTTTCCTAATTAGAGATGACCTTCTTCCTGCCGCATGCCGTCCGATGGCATGTAACGTAAGGAACATGTGCCATGCCGAGGCAGGGCTCCACTAGCCCCCTCTGCCTCTCCTCCCCAGTGTCAGTGCTCGTCACGCCTGCGGGAGAGGGGAGCCACAATGAGAAGGGACAAGATGCAATTTTTCTATTCTCTTCCCTGCATCAGATGTGTGTACACGTTTAAGAGCAAAGAATGTAAGAGGGAGGTATCGTTCCAGCTTGGCTACTTGTGAGGGCCACTCAAAAAGGCTGCCCATGGCAGTGAATTTTCTCCTGGCTAGAGCCAGAGTCATCTGGCTTTATACAGACAGAGGAGCCAGAGCTCACACCTGGAAATTCAGTGGGGCAGACATGTTCAGCATCAACACATTCGTGCAGTGTTCAGATACCTGTGTACCTATGAGTGAAGCTCTTCATCTTCACAGGGCTGTTATAAGAGGTAGGCTCAATGATCTCCACTGTCATTTTCCAAGAGAAAACTGAGACCGACATGTTAATTAACTTGTCTGAAGTCACACAGCTACTGAGTAGGAGGGCCAGGACTCAAACCCAGGTTGCTAGTTCTGTCTCCCAAGTTTGGTTTAGCCAGGACGTTTTTCTAATTGTCCTGAGTGGGAAAGAGAAGGAGACAGTACAACAAAAGGAAACCCAGGTCAGGGACAAGCAGTAAGTCAGCAGTCAACTGTTCGATATTCTTGCTACTAGGCCAGGGCCGAAGGATCTGCTTCTGATGCCAACTCTCGAGGAGGGGAGGGGCCGGTCCCAGAACAGCTGATGGCCCCAAACCCACACCTGCTCCATACACGGACTGCTGGAAACTGGGCACGACCAGAGTATTTGAACCACAGAAAATACACTGGTTAGAACTCAGACACCACATTATATAGTGGTGTACCAAAGGGAAACCAAGCTACAAACCTGCCCGGGCTAGAATTAGCAGAGGTGGGGAGGGAGGGGAGTCGGGACTTCTCTTTTTCTCTGAAATGGAGAGCGTATTCAAATGTAAACTTGGACTAGTTTCTTCTTTGCTGCAGCTTCCTCAACGATAGAAGCTGGAAGGATCGAGTGAGATTTGGCTGGGCACAGTCCCTCGTGCATAACAGGCATCAATAAATGGAAGCCCCTAAAGCTACTTATGTGCAAGGCATGCTCCAACCTGGCAGGTAGCCTTTTGGTTGTTCACTGCATTGCTACTTCTTTCTTTGTACCCCCTCACCCCACAAAATGGCAGTACCAACATAACACAGGTGGAAAGTGACATTTGATCCTTACAACGAAGCAAATCAAGTCACACAGGTGTCCTGGTGTTACAGAGGTTAACGTGCAGGAGTATACAGATGCCTCCAGGAGCCAGGGAGGGGTGGCCCAGTGGTGAAGGAGTTAAAAGCAGATGCTCTGGTGCCAGACTGTTTGGGTTCAAATTCTGGCTTTGCCACTTCCCTAGGATATTTTACAAGTTATTTAATCTCCATGGGCCCCAATCTTGTCACTTGTAAAATGGTGATAAAAATAGTGCCTAATCCATAGGGTTGACATGAGGATTAAATGAGTAAATACCTGTGAAATGTTCAGAGTAGTGATCAGGGCATAAACGGTATAAGCATTAGCTGCTCCTGCTATTACAGCATCACCATCCCTATTGTGACGCAGGAGAAGCATCAGGGCAGGAGGACTGAGGTGAGCACTCTAGAGATGGTATCCCCAGCAGCTTGTGGCGAGAGGGGCGAAACTTTAGCGGCTGAGTGTACGCCCCTCTGCCCCACCCCCCAAGGGAGCAGCACTGTAACCCAGAAGAGCTGTAACTCAGGAAGGCACTCCACTGAGGGCAAGGCTGTAACATAGGAAGGGCTTGTCACACAACCTTGGACGTGTAACACTGGAAGGCAAGAGACCAAAGCCAGGCTGAGGCCAGTGACTTCAGCTCAGCTTCTCTGAGGCCTAAGAAAGAGGAAGCACATGGCCAAGGGTGCCTAGATGGTCCTGACCCACGTCCCCCTGGACCACTCACCTGAGTGGTAGAGGACGGACAGGACAAGCAGGAGCCCGAGCAGGATGAATCCTTTGCTTCCCATTGTTTACAGGATCTGGAAGGAAGACACACGAAGAACCGTCATGAACCAACCACTGACTGACCACTGACCGGTGATCTCAGGAACCAAGAATCAGAAGGCCTAGGGAGCTTCAGGAGACACGGGGAAGGAGCTAGCAGACTAAGAAAACAGGAAATCTGCCAGGCTGGGGTGCCATCACCGAGGGGTGCTCTCGGGTGGGGCAGCACTTGGTCTCTCCTCCTGCCCCCAGACCTCAGCTTACTAAAGAAATGCTGTTGATCCTGGTGAGACGGGCAGCTATGGGGAGTCCCGAGCACTGAGGGCCCAGAGGCGGGGCTACCTGGGCCCCGCCCTAGCTCTCACCCCTAATGGCCCCTCTCTCTGTGCAGTGGGGACAACGGCCATTCCTGTTCTGCTGTAATTACACCCTAAGCCATTGGCTGGGCCAGAGCCTAGTGAAGGCCACTTCTCCAGGCCATGCCACTTAAGGGCATCCGAGCAAACAAGTGACTCTGGAGGGCACCAACACGCAGGCATCCAGCAGCAGAACAGAAGCACTGACTCGGCATGCCTGTAAGCTCTGGCTCCCCACCTTGGCAAGAATGATGGACATGCCTTGGTTCACCCTGGGGAAGGAAAAGGGGTTCCAGGTAACTCTGATGACTAGTCCGCATTACGTTCGTACCTAGGTGTGCAGGAGTGAGCATGGTGTGGAAGCGCTAAAATGCCTCAAACCCTCCTTTTGTCTGCTAAGCAAGTCAAGACGCCGGGAGGCTTTAAATTGTCTGTGGATGAAAAGAGGGCCACATACCAGGCCGACAAGCTCAGCGGAAGCCAGCACAGCGGCCTTACATAGAGCAGTCTGAACATAAAACTTCGTAACCGAAAGCAGGTCTCAGCAGGTAGTCACATTCTAGGGTGCAGCTTCCTTGACAAAGGTCAGTCTTTACCTTAAGGAGCCTGTCTTCTTGCTGTTGGTGTTTTTTTCTTTTTTGTAAACGTATCTTTGGAATTTCAGAGGAATTCACAGTAATCTCCTTTTCCAGGCCCCTCAGGGCACACCTACCACACCGGAGCACAGAGCACAGAACCCTCGTTGTTACCTTGTTCCCTGAACACCATCTCTCCGTGCCGTAAATACAAACTATGCGGAACCCAATGTAAAAGAAGGGCGTCTCTCCATTTTCCTCTTTATCCAGTCTCAGAGGTGTCCCCACTGCCTCCCTCATCTACCACCAATGAATCTCATGTGACCGCCTTTACGTCTCCTTTGATTCCTACGTGTAAAATAAGCCATGAAACTGCCATTCTCTGGAGCCTTTTCTCAAACCATTGAGATTTTGCTTCCTGACAATTGTTCTCAGTTTGGCTCAAATTTATAAAAATTCCCTAGAGGTCTGGTCATTTGTTACATCATGTCTAAACCATGCATTTAGTAACAGGTCTAGGAAATCTCTCCCCCCCACCCTTACTTCCCTGAGCCCATACTGAAACAAGGAGACAACCACCTCTCTCCACCCAGGGCTCCCCATTCCATTGAGTCCCACAGGCCAGGGGCAGACAAATGGGGCTCTTGGTGGGTGACGCCCCATCCTCCTCCAGATTAGGAACATCATCTCTCACAACTTCAAAGGTCATCTGATGCTCAGGAATTGGCTGACGAAGGCCAGGGAAAGGTTCAGAAAGGGCAGAATCTGACTAAGTGATTAGGGGTCTCTTCTCCTTTTAAAGGCCCATGTGATTATACTGTGCCCATTGTCACTGAATGCCAGCTTGCAGGCAAGACCACCTTTCTGTATCAGCTTCCATTTTGTTAGCAAATACTATAGCCAGTTGTTTGGCTCCCTGCTATTGATGTTACCTGTATTTAATCCTCATACAATGCTGCAAAATGTTTAAAGATTTTATTTATTTATTTTTAGAGAGGGGGAGGGAGGGAGAGAGGGAGGGAAACATCAATGTGTGGTCGCCTCTTGTGCGCCCCCTCCTGGGGACTTGGCCCCAGGCCAGGCATGTACCCTAGACTTGCAATGGAACCCTCAGCCCTTTGGTTCTCAGGCTGGCACTCAATCAATCCAGTGAACCACATTGTGCCAGGGCACAATGCTGCCAAGTTTAATCTCCACCTCCATTTATAAGGGAACTGAGGGTTGAGGAGGGGGACTAATTTACACAAGTGTTGGAAGGTAGAATAAAAATTGTCTTTCTTTCCCTAAGGTGTCCAGGTATCTGTGAATACAGGCAACTTTCCATTTCAAGTGACTTTGTAGATGACTTTAAGCTTCAGAGAGATGTGAAAACAGAAGAGGCAAGAGATTCAGAGTGAGACTGACATCACCAACTGCTGATTTTGAAGACAGAGAAAGGGGGCCAGCTGAGGCAAACAGGGGGCCTGCTTAGAAGCTAAAAACACCCTCGACCGATGCTCAGCCAGGAAACGGGACTTCAGCCCTCCCGTCGCCAGCGCTATAATTGTGCGGACAACCCGAAAGAGGGAAGGAAACGGATTCTCCCACAGATCCTCCAGAAAGGACAATGGCCGTGAGGCCGTGGCAGCTGTCTCAGTTACAGAACTGTAAGAGTAATACTCTTGAGTCATGTTAAGCAATAGAAAACTAATATACCAACCTCAGAAGTGGTTGGTGTATTACAACATTTAAACCCAGGGCTGAGTTCTTCAACCATAGTTAAGCTCTCTGGTGGGGAGACTTCTTGTGCATTCAGGTTCTGAAATAAATTTGCTATAAGCGGAGGCCACCAGAGAAGAGAATTTACATTGGGAGATTCACAGATGCCCATGAGTAAAGTTACTGCTCCTGGGAGCCTGGGGCCTGAAAACTGATGAACAGTAAGGCTAGAAGTGTCCTCAAAGATACAACCCGAAGTTGTTATTTTAGAGGAAAATAATGGCGGCCCCCCAGGGTGGGGATGGGGGAGAAAGTTACCTTTCCCAAGGCAACAGGTTAGTTGCAAAGCCACATGGCGTGGATCGCACATCTGTTCACCAGGGTTTGGTAACTCCCAAGTACCGGTAGCTTAGCACTATCTGGTGACTAGTAGTGCCAAGGGCTTGCAGGTTTGCCTCATCGCCTCATAATACACTGCCTGCTGCAGCAGGGCTGGCCTAAACAAAGATCAGTTATTGGTTCACCAAGGTAACTGCAACATCAGCAGGGAGAGACAAACAGAAAACCACATACATCACAGTGAACAGCCCCTCCCACTTTGAGATTCCACTGCCCCACCACCTGAGACCTCCCTAAACCACAGAAATCTGCAGCTTCCCTTGGCCGCCTCGGAAAATCCGATTCCCACAGGGTCTGTCATCACAGGGAGTGTACTCACTGCCCTGCCCTTGGAGGTTGTAACGGCAGAGCCAACTGTTTAATGAAGACAATTCACAAAGCTCTGGGGCACAGGCAAAAAAAAAAAAGTCTTCTCCTGGTGGAAACTTCAAGCAGCTCGGGGTCTGGGTTTATCTGTGGCAGTCTGGCTGAGGTCCTTCAAAAATTTGCAATGCAATCTTTTTTTAAGAGTTTGTAGTTGGAACTGTCAAAGATGAATTCCATTAAAGACCTGCTCTCCTCAGCCTAAAATCCATTTTATTTGGGCTTTTGGCTTCTGAGCCACTTGGCCTAATGGGATGTTTTCTTACAGGAAAGTTCAGCAAACAGTCTCTTGTTTCTACTTCAAAATTTACAGAAGCCACAAATCTTAGGCGTGATGGGTCCACAGTGAGGCAACCTATCTCCTTTGGGATCACACATTTCCCAGCATACTGGGAAACGCCGCCACCTCCCTCAGTCCACATTCTGAGTCTGTGTGCCCGCTTTAGAGAACTGGGGGTGAACTGTCCCCAGTGGGGAACATGAAGAAGGTGGATCACAAGGGTACCCCAAATATTAACAGCCACTGTTTGGTCTCCACATAGCAGGTGTCAAACCGAACCCTTTCCATGATTTTTCTCATGTAGTCCTTATAACTCCCAAGGAAGGAAGCTCTACGATTTTACTGATAAAAAAAAATGACATCAAATAGTTCACTCAGGGCTCAGTGTGAGCTTGGGCATGGACAGAAAAGGTTTTGAAATACATTTTAATAGAATTAAACAAACAAATAAGGGGGAATCATTAAGTCTCAGAGTTTCATATTGTTTTTGTTTCCCATAACACAGCAGAAGACACCACGAAGTGCCCACTGCCTGGGTTTTAAAGGTCTTAATCTAGCTCTGGCCATGGGTTTTTTTTATCAACCTAGGCCAACAGCCTGGGCAGGGGTGAGGCCAACAGAAAAAGCCATTTCATTTTGACTGACAAGATGCATATGTGTCAGATGTGAGAACTGGAATATGTGTGTTAACACATTTCCAGGGTCCTTGAAGAGGCTGCTTCTCCTTAAACCATTCAAATCACTATTTAACATTTTTTTCCAACCCCGCTGTCAGACTCTATGAAGGGCACAGCCCAAGCCGGCCCAAGAAAACAAAACCTCACACCAAACTTGGACTTAAAAGGTCTGTGTTTCACCTCTGCTTTGTTATTCAAGTTCAAAATTTAGACCTCTGAACAGAAGAATGTCCTTGACCATTTGAGGGTGGCGTTAATAACCTCTCACGGCGCGGTATCTTTTCCCTAAATTGCCAAGAGCTTCCCTTCCATGGTCAGGGTTCCAGGAAAATATTCCCGAGGGAATGGAGGGCAAGGCCCGCGGAATCTGGGGTGCCCGCTCTCCCCTTTTTCTTTGTTGTAAACAAGGTAAAGATAAGGTAAGTCAGAGTTCTATCGGGCTCTTTGGATAGCTTAAAGCGTGCGACCGGGGGCCTCAGGTGTGGGGGAAAGGCAGGGTGTCGGGAGGACACCCCAGCCCAGGGGTTTGGGAAAGGGATGGGGTCGTCCCCAGGGCACGAAGGCCAGCTCAAGTGGGGAGTGGGAACGGGGAGGAGGCAAGAGGGAGGGTTCGGGTCTCCGGAGGCCGGTGCCCAGCTGCCCGCCGACACACGCGCCTGCGGAGGTCCGCAGCCGGGGCAGATTCGCAGCGCAATCTGGCCCTGGGCTTGGCCTTACCTCTTGGCGTACTCCGAGTCCGACTTCCCTGGAGACGCGGTCTGGGCGGATCTGCGGTATTTATAGCCTGGGAACGGGAGCACTCAGCCTCCTCTCGCTCGCACCTCCCCCACCCCCGGCCCCGCCCCCCGCCCCGCCCCCGCCCCCGCCCAGCGCGCAGCAGGCCCGGAGTCCGGGTCACGAGTACTTTCAGAGCCGGCTCCTGGCGGTCACTGCAAGCGTCCCTTTACCCTGGTCTGGGAGCAGCCTCTGCGCGTCAGGGGAGGTAGGCTCCTAACCCAGGTTCAGAAAAGATCCATGGCTAGGGCTAGATTAAGACCTTTAAAATCCAGGCGCCGGAGGTTGGTGTTGTCATCCCGTTTGTTACGAAAACAGAAAAAAACATGGAACTCCAAGACATAGGATTTCCTTTTTTGTTTTAGTATTTTAAAATTAAACATTAAAATATATTTAAAAAATTTTTTATGCCCGCGCTAAGCTTGCTGTGGGCCCGGGTGTCGGGTTTCTCCTGCCCTGCTGTGGCCTGGGGCTCCTTTCTGCCCTTAGGCTCTGGAGCCCCTCAGTGTCTTTCCGTCACTGCCGTCCAAACCTTGGGTCTTGTTTGGAACCAAGATAAAACTCCGCAGAACACCATTTAGGACGTTATTTCTATGTGAAAATGTAATTTTCGCAATTACCCCGCTCCCTGACCAGGGCAATTTAAGTTTTTATCACTTGCGAAGACTCTCCCACCCACTGCAGAACTGGCTTTAAGAGCACCATGGGGAGAGTAAGGGAAAAAAGGTACAAGTCTCTGACCTCTGTTGGAGACCGTGAGACACTTTCTGAGGATCAGGGTGAGAAAATACTGCATCTCACGACTGCTTATGCTGAATCCAAAGGGGAAGCAAGCGGGGCAAATCGTAATCGATCACGATGTGCTTTCCACCGTGATGCTCTGATGGCGCTTAGGGATGCCGGGAAATGAGTTTCATTTGATGTATGCTTAAATCAGCTGAACATGCATTTCCAATAATAGCTTGTTTACAAAGCTCTTTCAGATGCATTATCTTATATGCATCCTATTAGCTGTTCCCTCCTTGAAACTCGCCTGGATTCTGAGATGCCAATCTCTCCTGGTTTTGCTTCCAGTTCCTTGACCTTTCAGCCTGAGATTCTTTCCCACTACTCATTTCATAATGGGCACTTCCAGGGTGGGACTGAGAATCATTGCTCCATGTGCTCCCTGGGAGACTACAGTGCATCCACGTTGTTTTAGCTTGGAGATACGTTTGTAGGTGATTTGCAAATATTTATTCTCCAGTCCTGATCAGTTCCCTCAATCTTCATATTCACATCCAATTGATTGCTGGACATCTCCACCTACAGGTCCCACAGACATTCTGAACTCAAAATGTGTCCAAATCTGAGCTCATTTCCAATGATCCATTGCTTTTTTTTTCTTCTTCCATAAATGAAAGCCAAAAACCTGGGAACCAACTTTGGTTTTTCTCACTTCCTTATATCTAATCAACTCCTGCCTACATCATTTGCTTATCTCAACTTCATAGCCTCTTCACTACACCTGCCACTGACCTAATTCAGGCCTGCAGCATGTCTAATTTGGACCATTGCCTTTACTTTGTACTAGGTTTCCATGTCACACATGGTAGTTTCTGCATCCTGTGCCCTTTCTCTACCTATCCTGCTGGAGACCTGGCTGCTTCACCTCTCATTTGATTTTATTTCATATCATCCTTTCTGGAACACAGTAGGACTGCAGCTGCTATTTTGCAACCATGAGTTTGACCTTTAAGACTAGTCTTGAGCTAGGGATAATGGGGCAGAAAGATGGAAGGAATCTGGAATGTTGACATAATTAAGCCACCGTATCAGCCCAGAATTAGTTACCTCTGACCTATCACAAGAGGAAAAAACCCCTAAGCTGTTTAAGCTATTTAGGTATCGGTTTCTCTCTGACACATCAAGCTTTAGACAAATAGATAGATGTTCTCAAGAAACCTCTAAGCCAGAAATGGCCTTAAGTCTGACCAATTGTTAGATCCCTTTTATGTGTGAATACACATTTTTGCCAATGAAATAAAACATTTCGAGCTTGTTACCAATACCTTAGCATGAACTAGAGGTCACGCATCCAACATGCTAAAAGCATGTGAATTTTGATGAGAGGATAAACAAGTCTTAAGCATTCCGAGGAGCAAAACTGGTGGGGTTGCAGGGGAGACTTGAGGCAATGTGGGTACTCTGGGACTGAGAGAAAGGAGAGGGAGTCCAGAAAAGGGAAGCAAGCAATGCATGGCATGGGATCCTGGGGTCAGCTTTGACTTGCAACATTAACTAGTTTTAAATTATGGCTTTACCAGGAAACGTTTAAGAGATCAGTGCGTTGATTAAAAAGAAGACATAGGCACAATAGAAGGATTTGGCAACCTGATAATACTCTTTTAAAAAAAGAAAAGCAGGAAAAACTGCTCACTCCATTTGAGAACATTCTGACATGTGCCGATATGAAAAGGTTAAGTTTGACTTCGTGGGCTCTGATGGCAGCTGTTTCACCCCAATACCCTCCTCTTCCTGCAGTCTTCAGTAGAAAACAACTGTTCTTGGGGGAGATGGAAAGTGGGGTGCCTGACTGGGTATAACCAAAGCCAGGAAGTGGCTTTCAATGGGTCTCTAGCAACAGGCCAGCAGGTTTCGCCTCCTCTTTCATCTTAAGAGCAAAGGCTTATTATTAATAAGTTGATGGAAGATAGGCAACTATACAAAATGCAGCATCAGAACCAAATTTTGTTTTTAAAATGTGAGTTTTTGACACTTGGAGGACTTCATTCCAAACTCTCAATAATATAATTACAAAAAGAATCCAGGTTTCAGGAAAACATACTTAAATCTTAACATAAAATTCATGTCACTTATCACAAACTTAGACGTGTATAAAAGAAAAAAAAGCGGTATTTACAAATTTAGACTATGTAAGACATTGTGGAGAATTTTGTTAATAAACAACATAATACATACTTTTACACTCTACATTTCAAAAATGCATCTGTGAACAACAGTAATGTTGATGATTTTAATTGAATCCAAGGTGTCATGTTGAAGATGTTAAATTAAATTCAAGGTTGGGAGAGTTGAAGACTAAACTCAAAGTCAAGATCATAAAGACTTTAAATTCAAAGTTATAGGGATAAAAACTTTTAAATTCAAGGATAGATTGTCTAAGAAAGGACAAAAAGACTAGCATTCAACCTATTCAGTCAGTTAGTTCCCTATGAGTACAAAATATATAGAAATCACTAAATGGATTAGCCTAATTACAAATTGTGTTCATTTCTAAATGACAACTGCAAGAAGTCTTTTCACAGAATTTTTCAGTCACATAGTTTCTATCCTTGGGTAGGTATTTCTGCTATATTTCTTATTCAAAGCAATTCCCTCCTGCTTTCATATAAGTACAAAATACTTTTAAACAAAGAAATGTCCACTTCTTAGCTAGAGGACTACTCCCCCATTGGCTTCTAAAAGAGAAAAAAAAATTCTCACTTCTTCCTCAACCTCAAAATCACTAAGTAAACTCAAACAATCCAATTCCTAATGAAGAGTCGCGTAGCATCCAGAGCCCAGAACAATATTTCATGCTAGTGTTTCTTGCTAAACGCCGAGAACAATTTAGGTATTTACATTATTGAGAAATCTATTTAACAGAGTGGATTCATTCCAGCGGTTCCATTAGCAGAGGCTCGCTAAAAGAGGCGTGAGTAGCGGCGTCTGCGAATGGGAACATCGAAGAGTCTCCTCGGCCTCCCTTCCTCGTCCTCTTCATCAGAGTCATCCATATCTGCCGAATCATCGTCGTCGTCTTCCTTCTCTTCTTCCGTCTCTTCCATCTCTTCGCACTCATATGAGGACGATTCGTCTTCCTCCTCGTCTTCTGCCTCTTCCATTTCCTTGAAAGAAAAAACAGTCTTTTGATAAGAACTTCCATCAGTTTTTTATACTTATTTAATGCAAATTCTGATTTATCTAGAATCGAAACAACCAGACTGCCAAATGTGAATTTTTATAGCCTTGAACAGCACATTTTCAAGATGCACATGCTGATGCAAGATTCCAGAGCGTATATTCTACTCCATGTTTAAAAACGCTCAATGTGGTTTGCATGGTAAATATAGCTCATCAATACGGCACTCATTTTTTAACATGGTAGTTGTTATTCATATACAGTGTAGTGAGCAGGCCACTCCTAACAAGATAAAGCTTTACAGAGTCTATCGCCATTACTGTATTAAGTAACAATTCCTTATTAATCTATATGCTTACAGAAAAGAATACTGGTATGACCTCTACTGGTAATTTTTATGTACTGTCAACAAGAGGTCTAAGATTTCTACTGAGTTCCTACTATAAAGGCACATCATTTCAATTCAGCCACCACTGGTAGCCTCTGCTTGTAAATGAACTTGTCGAAGGCTCTCAGAATAGGGACGTGGTGATGTTGAATATGCAACATCTGAACATCTGCTGGAAACTTGCTCTTAAGCAGGGTTTCTAATCAGGTCTTGACTTACTCTGCTGTTAATTTTCTCTCTCACTTTTGAAGATCCCAAGAGAGGAGCTGCTACACTGGACAGAATTCTGAGCAGCAAGGTGCTAGTTCGTAATGTGGGACATGTTGGGAAACTCGGGCCGTGATGGCAGCAAAAGTCCTTCCACTGAGGCTTCTATGACACTTCACGATGCGGCACCTTCATTACCCTTCTGATCTCCTCTCCGACCACTCTCCCCTCTGCCCGCCCTCCGGGACAAGGGCATCCTCGCAGTTCTTCCAGGCACATTAGGGTGTCAGGACCTCTGTACTTGCTGTTCTTAGTCTGGAGCACTCTTGCCTCGCGTATCCAAGGGCTCTTTCTAGCTCTTTCGAGTCTCAGCTCAAATGTCACTGAGGCCTTTCTTGACACATCTTTATATTATACAACCCAATAGGACATTCCTTATCCCCTTGACTGATTTTTCTCCAGAGCACAAGTTATGTGGTTTGCATGGTAGTACCATGCAAACCACATAACTTGGTTATGATACTGTGGTTTGATACTACCTGACCTGAGTACGTACTGTT